TAAGAGAAGTTGATGAGAAAAAAAAAATGTAAGAACTATGTGGACAGCACTTGATAATTTGTTCTTGACTAAGACTACCAAATAAAATCTATCTTCTGGAAAAACTATACTGGAAATAGCAAACCTAAGTGACTATAGTATCATCATCAAGAGTCTTGCACATAATGAAAAGATGTTTGAAGATGAAGACCTTGTTGTCATCTTATTGAGCTCATTGCCTGAGTCTTATAAAGATGTCATTAATGTCATAAAATACTCAAGGGATAAGTTGACGCAAGACATAGTTATAGATGCTTTAAGATCTGGGGAGTTGAAGGTTAGAAAAGAGTCTAAATCTAACATCAGAAAAAAAAAAGTATGTTCATAAGAGGGAGAACAGAAAAAAGAGAAAATAATTTTCTAAATAGAACAAGGAAAAGTCAAATGGATGGTCTACGTCCACAGATAAAAGTAACAAAAAAGTATTATCATTGTGGCAAATTAGGACACTTTAAAAGAGATCATTATGATTTGAAAAGGAAACAGAAGGTTCATAACAATGTTGAATTAAATAATTTTGCAAGTCTTGATTTGAACAATCTACATGTTATGACCGTGTCTAGTGAAGAGGTTAGTAAGGACTGGATCTTATACTCAGGATATACATTCCATATGAACCCTATTAGATCTTGGTTCTACAACTTTATAGAGATAAAACCTAGAAAGCTATATATGGGGGACAATAATTCTTAGATTGCTATTGGGATTGGTGACATTGTCATCAAAATACATGATCGCATTATCAGGCCAATCAGAAATGTCAGATATACCCCAAATCTAAAAAGAAATCTCATCTCACTGGGAATCTTTGAAGATGAGGGACATATCTTTAAATTTGACGATAACACATTGAAAGTAATGAAGGGATCTTTGGTTGTTCTAAAGAGACCAAAAAGAAATGGATAGTACTATCTTCTTGGGGAAACTGTTATTACTCAATACCCTAGTTACTTCACTGTAGCAGAAAACAAATCTGAAATCTGGCACAATAGAATGGGACATATTGGAAATAAGGGTCTGAAATATCTAATTGATCAAAACTACTTGGAAAAGATATAATCGAACCCCTTGATTTCTGTGAAACCTACGTGTTAGGTAAGTTTTACATAGTAGTTTTGAAACAGGGTCACACATTACTTAAGAGTCTTTAGATTATGTCCCTTCAGACTCGTGGGGACCAAAAAGTCATCACAACTTAAGAGTCTTTAGATTATGTCACTTCAGACTCGTGGGGACCAAAAAGTCATCACATCTTTGGTAGGAATAAGTACTTTCTATCTATAATTGATGACTTTTCTAGAAAAGTATAGGTTTATCATTTAAGAGCTAAATCTTAAACCTTCCAAAAATTCAAATTTTGGTTAAAGATAGTTGAAAATCAACTTGATAGGAGGCTAAAAATTCAAAGGAATAATAAAGGATTGAAATTTTGCAATGCTGAGTTTGACAACTTTTGCAATAAAAAGGGGAATAGTAAGATATAGAACTGTGAAGCATTCTTCACAGCAAAATGGGGTTGCTGAAAGAATGAATAGGACCTTAATGAATAAGGTCAGGTCTATGCTAATAGTTTAAGGCTTGCAAAGGGGTTTTGGGCCGAAGCTCAGTGGACTACTACTGCGTACCAAATAAATAGGTCATCATGTAGTTCTGTTGAGTTTTAAACTCCACAAGAAGTGTAGATTGGTAAAATTCCTAACATGTCGCATATTAGAGTCTTTGGATGTGCATAATATACATAGAGCATATGTTAAGTTGGTACATGTTATGGGTGTTAGGGCAATAGGGCATTAAAATCATTAATAGTAGAAATGTGGTCTATAATGAACTTGAAATGCCATTCCTTAAACATAAAATTGATAAATCTAAGGAACTTGAAATTTATAAAAGTCCTCAAAATGAGGTGAAGTTAAATAGATTCGATTTTACACAACCTGAAAATGGTCAAACTGAAACTAAAGTTCTTTTGGCAGAAGGAAATGAGGTTGATCCTAATGAAGGTGAAACACGTCAGCCCTAAGCAGCAAACCAGCCTCAAGTTGAGAATGAACTTGAACCCTATACTAATCCTATAATAGATGCCATAATAAGAAACTATCAACTTGTTAGAGTCAGGGAAAGGAAACAACCTAGGCCCAATCCTAGATTTGAAACAATAAAACTAACTGAATTTGTCCTAATTTTAGGTAAAGCCTTAGAACATTCAGAACCTTCTTCTTTTGAAGAAGCTATGAATGGGCTAAAATCTCCAAAATGGAAAAAGGCAATGGAAAAGGAGATGAAATCTTTACTTGATAATAAAACTTGGAAATTAGTAAAGAAGCCAGACAAACAAAGGGTTGTGCAATGCAAATGAGTTTATAAACTAAAGGAAAGTAATAATCCCACTGACCCTTTAAGATACAAAGCCAGGCTTCTAGCCAAAAGCTTCACTCAAAGGGAGAGGATCGATTATAATAAAATATTTTTACCAATATTTAAGTATAAAACTATAAGACTGATGATTGCACTAGTTGTTCAATTCAACTGGGAACTTGAACAATTTGATATCAAGACTATCTGCAAATTACAAAAATCACTATATGGGCTTAAACAAAGTCCAAGATAGTGGTATATAAGATTTGACATATATGTGCTTAGGATTGGGTTTAAAAGAAGTGAATATGATCCATGTTTGTACTATAAAAATGTTAGGAACGGAAGTGAAATTTATTTAATTCTATATGTAAATAATATGCTTTTAACCAGTGCTTGCAGAACTGAGATCATAAGAATAAAAGACATCCTGAAATCTGAATTTGATATGAAGGAGTTAGGGAATGCTAAGAAAAACTTGAGAATGGATAGTAACAAGGATAGATCTGGCCATAAATTGACCTATCCAGATAAAGTAATAACAAAATTTGGCATGAAAGAAGCCAAATATGTTAATATACCGCTTACATTCCATATGAATCTTTCCTTTGAACATGCACATGAAAATAATGATAAATTGAATGAAATGAGAAACATTCCATATGCCTATGCTATAGTGTCAGTCATGTACTCTATAGTCAACACTAGGCCCAACTTGGCTTATTCCATTAGTTTTCTAAGCAGATTCATGTCTAATCCTGAGAAATCACACCGAGCTGGGTTGAAATGGCTATGAAAATACATAGCTAGAACTCTAAATATAGGATTAGTATATGAAAGGAAATCTGAGAACTTTACTTTAAATGATTATGTAGACTCTAATTTTGCTTGTTACAAAGATCAGAGAAAATTTACTTCAACTTATTTCTTCACATTAGGTGATAAATGTATTACCTGATAGTCTTAGTTACAACTATTGTCACATTATCCAGTATTGAGGATGAGTATACGGCAATAACAGAATATGTAAAAGAAGGTATTTAGCTTAAAGGAATTTTTAGGTTAATTGAATTTTTTACAAGATACTCATGTGATCTTCATTGTGAAAAGTGTTGGGACTGATTGACCAATAATGTAGGAATTGAGATTTAATGAATACAACTTGTTGTAATTGAAGTAACTAACAAGATCACGAAAAGCCACGAACAAGATTAAAGTAAAGAAATAAAAGAACAGGCAGAGGAACGATGTTATTTTATTCAATCAATGAAATGAGAGAATTACAACCATAATGGCTTAAACAATACTGAAAGAGGAGCCCTATATTTATAGTACACGAGTCTTGGCAAAATATGGAAATTAAAAGAAAAAACGTGAAAAAAAATATGCCCACGGCACACATATTTTTCTTCCTTATTCCTTTGATTCTTTCCATATTAACATGTCTCAGATTTGGATACCAATTGATCTCATTTCCTTTTGTCTACCACTTTGATATTTCCAAGTTTAAGGATCACACGCAATCTTCAATATTTCCTTATTTTGAGGCACAAATTCAACAAAAAGCCCAAAAATAGTTAACCAAGAGGGGGTAAATTGATTTTCAATACTTATTTTGAAAATGAATTCTAGATTTAAACCAATGTGATAACAAATGAAACAATTAGACAAATATGCACAAATACACACAAATCCAAAGTCAAATAAGAACAAGGAATGAGCACAATATCAAAACGGTAAATAAAAGAGAGAGAAATGATGCAAATGATATAATTGTGGAGGTTTAATCCAATGCAATGATCTATGTCCTCCATTACCAAGCTCTCCGGCACGAGCAAGGTATTTTCACTATGTTGATTGACTTATAGTGCAATCCAATCGTTTACAATGCTTCCATTAACTTACAAATAAGGAGCATCGATCCTTATACAATATTGAACTTTACGGGACCTCAACACGACCCACATTATTCAGCTTTCCGGAACCTCAATATGACCCACGTATTGAGCTTTACAAGACCTCAATATGACCCACACTTTATCAAAGTGATTTTACTATAAAATCCTCTATTGATAAATATACAAAACAAATTAAATACTAAGAGAGACTAACACTTTCAATTAATAGTAATAAATGAGAGTTTAAGTGTTAGATGAAAAACTTTTATGAATATGATAATTAAAAGTTAGATTCAATCAATTAAAGTGTTTCAATGAGAAGAGTATGAAAAAATAAATGCAGTATAAGTTCAAAAAATCTTCTCAACAAATATCTCTCTTTAAATGAATGATTGCAATAAGTTAAGTACTAAGAGAAATTAGAAACTTTAATGAATATAATGATTGTACAAATTTGATTCAATTAGTCAATTGTTTCGATGAGAAGATTATGAAAAAATAAATGCAATGTTAGTTCAAAAAATCTTCTCAACAAATATATCTCTTTAAATGAATGATTGTAATAATAAGTTAAGTACTAAAAGAAATAAGGAACTTTGACGAATATAATGATTGTACAAATTTGATTCAATCAATCAAAATTTTTAAGTGGAAATTACACTAAATGTCAAGTTTTGGGTTTGTATTTACAGAAATGTCATTTTTTAAAAGAGATTACGAAATTGTCATTTTTGAAGATTTTTGGACATTTATGCCCCTCTTAAACATTTCAATACCTTGTATATCCTTCATTAATGAGACATGACAAGATGAGAAATTTGAATACCAAATTAGCCTTTCTCTCTTACATTATTGTTCCTCACGTTCTCTCTCTCCCCATTCGGTCTCCCCATCATCTGACGGTCAGAGGAAGTCCGGCAGCTGCTGAGCACCTCCGACGTGATTAAACGTCGATCTGCTGCCACGAAGTCGCCGACGCTGAGCCTCCACCCTCGGTGACTACTGTCACTCTAAACCGCTCTCTCTCTGTCTCTCTTTGTTTATTTATTTTTTACTTCCTGTTTTATTGCCATTACATTAGGCTAATTTAAGATTTTGTTTTTACAGAATGATCTATTGAATTTTCAAAGATTTAACTCCGGCAGCTGCTGAGCACAGTAGTCTCAGCTCCTCCGGCGTGATTAAACGTCGAGCTTTGTCCAGGCTTGTGAGTTGAACATGCTGCCACCAAGTCGCCGACGCTGAGCCTCCACCCTCGGCTACTGTCACTGTAAACCCGTCTCTCTCTCTCTCTGTTTGTAATTTTTTTTTAGTTCCTTTTTTTTTTTGCCGTTACGTTAGGGTAATTTATGATTCTATTTTACATTAGGATAATTTATGAGTTTTAGATAATAGGTTTCAGTTATATTACGAAGAGAGTGATTGCTAAAACCACTTTGGTTATGGGTGGGTGAAGTTTGCTGCTTCATATGAGAATGCAACGAGAGACCAGCTTTCTTTGCATATGTATTTCGAAGGTCTAGAATTCTTCTTCCCACTGTGTGATGGACTCGGTTTTGATCCAAAAAGTGCTTCCTTCTCTGCTATAAACTGTCATTGAAGCTTCTTCTGGTCCTACTATGCACATTCATGATTATAACATTTAGTTGCAGTAACTCTAAACTAAATCCAACATCAATATTTGTTCAAATAGTAAGGATACCCTCTGCCTTTGACGTTCTTTCTCTTTCTGTTGCCAACATATTCAAGAAACCGAAACATTATATAGCAGTTAGTACTATGTCACTTGTACTTCAATTTCAGTTAAAAATCTGAAGATTTTTATTTTTTTACCAATAGCTCTTCAGAAGTCGAAGCTTCCGGTAAAATTCAATGAAGGCCCGTCTCAACTTTTCTTCTCCTTTTCGTAGTTCATCCTTGCTGAATGATAGATCAGATTTTGAACTCATGATGACATTTTTCAGAGTCGAAACTGGGGTGTCTGGTTCCACATTGATCTTTACATGATCCAAAACTTGTAATGAAGGAGGCCTAAAACCATTTGAATCCTTTTTTCTGTCTTCATTTCATCTTCACAAGCCCCCATCTCAATTTCTTGAATTACATCCATATGCAATCCTCCTTAAAAGAAAGAAGAGTTTGAGAATGGAAAATGTTTGTTACGATACTGTATATCTAAAAATAATAAGCACCTAAAGCAATGCATTGTTTTTGTTCATTTTAAACAAGACTCAATTTCTATATATATCATCAACTGATTATGCTATCTCACTTCGAGAAATTTGAATATGAATTCTTGATGCCATTTAAACTCTTACTATGACTAATTTACACTCTGATTGCCTTACCTTGCTTAGTTCCATTCACAGTTACAATAACTGTTGCTGGGAATAAACCAAGAATCAGCCATAATAGATAAGATGGTTCATGAAAGTATCAGAGCAAGGTTCCAAATTCAAGTCTTGTCTTTACCCACTTATACTACACCTTTTGATGAAAAATTCATCTATCTTGCACATGAGAGGCGTCTTGAATACTAAAATTAAATTAATAAACACATTCCTCTTTAACAACTGAAACTTTAAGAAGAAGTGATTTAATATACATAGGTTGCCTAAAGAAAAGACAAATATCGAACAAACATACAAATATAAACCAACATATAAGGGCTTATACTATTTCTCTTAATAAGTTTGCTCTTTGAAGATGAAATCTTCCTAATGAGATCAGTTTGTCAAGTAAGGTACTTCTAGCAAGAGAAATGCTTACACCATCATACAAGAACTGAAAACCTCTTTCTTTCTCCCAAGTTTTCAATTTAGGCTTCAATGTTTCCACCATCTCTATGAAACCAACCAAACCAAAGTCACTAAGTTCATCTATTCAAACACATACAGAAATGAGAGAAAAGAGATGTTGCTCCATAAGAATACCAAATAAACTATCAAATGTTATCTTTTCCCGAATCTCAAAATGAAAGAGAAATTATTTTCTCACGTTCATCATACACGTTAACCCGTGATCTTATCTCCATGATATTCTGATGAGAGAGAAACTTAATGGCATCAACAAATATTTATTTTAAAACCAGATGCTCTACTGTTCATTGACCCTCTGTTTCAAAGAAATCAAATTAACTCCTCGCGCCATATTACTAAATTTAACATTCGGAGTCTAAGTAAAGGAGATTGCCAATCTCTAGAACCTGGCACTGTTTTATTGGTTATTTGGGTCTCTCAGAATTGGGAATTTAATAAACCGGAGGCAATTGACAAAGTTACTTATATACCATTAAATACCATATATAACATATGGCTCCCCCAACACATCAAACATATTTCCCGCCTCACCACAATTATATTAAAAACTGAGATATGTACCTGGAATTTTGGTAATAAGAGCTCGAGCTTTCTTAGCATGCTTTAGCATAAGATGGGTACCTCTCCCAGCATTATAACGATTTTCATCATAAATTAGGATCATTTTAGATAACGAGTAAGAGAGATGAAAATAGATAAAAACAGTAGTACAAGTCATTTCACTTGAGCAACATATATCCCACGCTATTATACTCCTCCAGCCAGCACTCCTCTTCACAAGCAGCCAACCATTTTTAAAGTTTTTCAAGTATATCTTTTCTATTGAAAGCTTCTTCTTTAACCTTGGAAACATGCATCTCCAGTTGTTCCAGTAGGGAAGAAGTATGTTTTGGGTTAGTAACAACTACTTTATTGACCAGCAACTGTTCTTACTAATTTTGTACAATAAAATAATTTGCTTGTTAGATTTAATGTGGAATAAGCTTGTGGTTTAGAAATATGCATTACAAATTGTATGGGTTTTTAAGGAAACATATGCAACTTTAGCAAGTTTGAGGGGGGTTATACTGTGTAAATAGGACAAGCACATGGTTTTAAATTTCTACATATTAGCCGTAAACAGCTCATTCCATTGGTTCAAAGATTGGTCTTTTCTTTGAAATTGCAGTTATTTTTTGTTTTGTATGAGCAAAATATGTTAATCACCACGAAACATATTCAAAACAGGATTTCCCGACAGTTCATCTATCCATAGTTGTTTCTCAACTGTCGTACCCGACAGTTATCCTCTGTAATTCTCGACAGATGAACCGTCGACGGATAAAATGTCGGGACCGACAGTTCAGTTCCTGTCTGCCTAGGGCCTACCAGTAGAAAATGATATTTCTATGTGATATGCGTTCAGATATCAGTATTCCTTTTATTTTTTGCATGCAACAATTTCTGATGTGGGAATATCTTCCGTTTCAATGCTGGGAGGAAGTTTATATTGTGGTCTGACGCAATTTTTTCTTATTTTGTCTTTGTAGACATGGATTTCGAGCCTCTTGTTCCGGAGAATGCACGCTTGCGGGGCCACGTATCGTAGAGAAGCAATCTGCGGTATATAAAAACAGTCGTGGAACATTTTGACGAGTGACAGCGGGAAGAGTTTCGCAACTCATGCCTTGGGTTCTTGTCTGAGGTTCCAGATCTCCAGTTCTCTGCCCAATTAATCCAACAACTCGTATTCTGCTGCATACAAGCAAAGAAGCGGCACAAACTGTAGTTTAATTTGCAAGGCCACCTCGCTAGGTTCGAAATTCAAGAGTATGCCATTGTGACTGGATTAAGGTGTGGTCTTCTCTCGGATGACAATGTCATGGACCGAGTTCTTGAGAAGAGGAGACTAAAGGACAAATACTTTAAACATGTGGACAAGATTTCTTGCACCCAACTCGAGCAGACATTTCTTCGATCGTCAACGCCTCGAGCCGATCGGTACAAGCTTGGCCTCGCTTTGATCATCGAAGGAGTCTTTAATGCTCCGGATAACAACGTTGGTATCGATATGGAGACGTTGTCGATCGTCGATGATCTAGACTTGTTCTTTTAGTATCCTTGGGGTAGAATCTCGTACGGACGGCTGATAAAGGGCTTTCGGGGCCGTTGGGCAAGAAAATTTTTGGATGCGACGAAGAAGAAGGAGAAGGCGGTTAGCTACACGGTCCACGGCTTTTCCATTGCCATACATGTATCTTTATTTTACCTACTAATTATTTCAATGCAAATGTATTTCGTGATTGGTTTCGTTCTGAACTGACATTCCTGTTTTACTCTAACAGATATGGGCGTTCGAGGCGATGCCTGAAATTGATGATCGCTTTGGTGAGCGTCTTGGGGAACGTTCCCCACGGCTTCTCGGCTGGACATCAACAAAATAGCCGCAACAGCGTACGTACGACGCTTTCTTCAAGAATGTACAGGTAAAAAATTATGTTACTTCTACGATCTCATACCTTCCATTCGTCATTGTAGCATGTGGTTATTTCGTAACGAATATGTTCATGTTGTAGCTACACGTGTACGCGACACTGCGGCCCACCGAGACTGAGCGTGGGCAACCTCATATCGCAACTCTTGTGCTGCTCAATGATGATCCTGTCCCTGCGTTGGATGACCTTGCTAGGGACAGTGTTGCTCCGTAGTTCCAAGCAGAGTGTATAGGCACCCCCGAGGGTGATACTTCTGAGGAGGCCCATGACGGTGGGGGGACCAGTGGTGAGGAGGAGGAGTCAGGAGCCGATGAGAGCGGAGAGGACGAAGGTGGGGACTCGAAGGAGGACGACAGTGAGGATAGCGACGGTGATCGAGTTGGACGAAGTGGACAGACGGGGACTCCCCCCCCACCAGCATAGAGCTACTTCTCCCATGGCACCGTCCACCTCTCATGTACAACCTACTGCGGCGGCTGGATCAAGCCTCACAGCAGACGATGTTCAGGGGATGTTGCTAGATCAAAGAATTCTGTTCGAAATGCGGCTCCGCACTGTGAAGCTCGAACTCATGCAGCACATGTCAGATGAATTTAAAAAATTGAAGGACTTCATATCTACCCTCGTCCCAGCATCCGGCTCTACAATGTTCTTTATGACAATGTTCACTTTATCCTTGTTCACTGACATGTTCTGTACGACAATTGTTCATTCATTGTAGACTACGGAGGCTTTGCAGGCCACCACCCATCGCCTAACGGCATCGACGAAGACATGGGGATTGACAGGCAAGAGGGGGATGGTATGTGCATTAATGAAGAACACATGGAGCCATGCCTGGACGAGCAGGATATGCCACTGGCCACTGGAACCGAAAGTCTGGAAGGTACGTCGATTACTTTTGGGCAAATTGATTAATTATCATTTCATGTGTTTCGAAAGTTTTGAAAATTGTTAAAATTCACTTTTCATTCGCTGTTTCGTTGTTGTTCTGAATAGACATAGCGCACATTCAGCCGTGCCCGAAGGATCGCCCCGTGCCAGAGCCCTCTACAATCAAAGAAGTGCAAGGTATTGCATTATTTTTTACGATTTCAACAAATATTATTTCAGGCATTCGATTAGTTTACAATTGTTCATTTGTTGTAGTCGAAGGGGCCCACCACCCATCGACTGGCTACCGTGAGAAAGAGCAGGACATGGTGCCTACTGGAACCATAAATCTACAAGGTATGTGGGTCAGTTATGAGGAAAACTTGTAGATTGTTGTTTCATGTACTTGGCATAATTTGAAAATTCGTACATGTAGTTATACACTGAAAATATTTAATTGTTCTTTTCGACAGACACAGTACACATTGAGCCATGCCCCGACAATGACCTCGTGCTAGCGCTTGTTGCAGTGGATGAAGTGCAAGGTATTGCCTTAATTTTTGACAATCGAATTTAATTTTCGTTTCATTTGCTTACGTTGTAACTTTCCCAGTTCCCGCCGATGTTGCCCGACCAGGATGGGCAGTTACGACAAATAGACGGCGATCCGCACGACTGCGACGTCCGGCACCGGCTACCAGGACTCAGTACACGAGGGGGAGCACAAAGCAAAAACATTAATACTTGTGGATAAATTGCCGAACATAGCACGATGACGGGGTTCAGCATGCTTTTGTATTTTGCTTGATGTAATTTACGTGGTGAAGGATGTTAGTTACTTCGCGTTATATTGGTGCCTTGTTCATTCATTTTTGTGATTTACATATCAGACAGGGTAGTTGGCAAGCTTGGTGACACTTAGAAGCATTCATCACATTTTGCAATTCCCGTGGTAAATGCCTTGTCACCGTTTACCGTTGCTGAAATTATTGTAGTGTTAGAACTTGTATTAGTTATCCGGCTTTATTATGTTATTCAATCGTACTTACGGTACTAAGTGCCTTCATTCAATGTTCGTCAACGCTCGTACATTGTATTGCGCAAAAAATTATGTATGCGTACGTTTTACGAATATCCATTTACGAGTAGATAGCGGGCTTGAATGTCGTAGTTCCTTAGTAAACTATAGATTGGATTAAGATGAGGACCCATTAAAAGTGCCAAAGTCATGACTTTCATGGTACAACTAATGGACGAATGAGTTTATGTATATTCCATTGTCCTTCGTATGTTATTATGTGGGTTAACATGATGAGAGGGTTTTGTGAGAAACTGTACCATTACAACCATGGTGCAACTAAGAAGTTGGCAAATGAGAAGTAATTTCTTGCAAGCAACCAGATAACATGAATTTTACACATCATTGAAGTATTTTAGTCTCTGTCAATGTCATAGTAATGATGGTACAATGGGGGATAAAGGTACACTTATTATATTAACCATCACACCAATTGCTTTTCAAATTTATTTAGAGATTGAACTTGGTGGTTGGGTAGATAAATGAAGTAATTACTTCCTCCTTTCAGGATGATTATAAATACCAGGAGACCATTGTTGCTTACAATCAATTTTGGAGCCAAGGTATTGTGCCACTTTGAACTTACCTACAGATCATTGTGACACTTTGAACGTAGTTGAACAACATTGTGGTAAGAAAGAGCTACTTCTATTTATTCTTCTTCATTTATTCTGTAGTTTACCAAAATTCGAAATTATACGATCTTTACTGCAATGCATGTTTTCGTCAACTGTCGAGAAGGAAGAAAACATCTGTCGGGCCCGACAATTCAACTAGGCGGGCCATTAAATTTTATAAGTTCCTTGCGTTTCAATAATTGAAAATGGTGGGATTGTCCAATACAAGTGTCTTAGTGTAACATGCTATTGTAGATATTATACGTTTCTGATTTTTTGCAAGTAACAAGTATTTCCAATACATTTATACTATCATAATGAATGCATTACAAGCATTGTCTATCAAATTACATTTCATATGTCATTAAAGCTGTTGTGAGGCTTCCATTTTGAAACAGGTAGTTGATACGAGATAATGGGTTCATCCACCTCTAGCAATGAAACATTCAACTCCAATATGCATCCACCCATACTGGGTTCATCCACTGAATTTCCCATCGTTTTGTTCTCAGACGATGAGGATGTAAGAGTTGAACTGCATGGTGCCAAGTTCGACGAAGTGTCAAGTGCAGAATCTAAGTCACCGAACAGCATTCTCGATCAAGTCTTCGAGGTTAGGGGTCCGGTCAAGTCACCGTCAAACTCGAATGAGTGGGTGGCTCATGTTCCACCTTCAGAAGTAATTGTCATTAGCTCAGACGAGTCTGATGGGGAAAGTGGGGGAGCTTCTTACATTGTCAAAAGCAGTGCAACTGTGCAATAAATGGCCCTTTTGTACGAAAATATGTTTAGTATTTTGTGGTATGGATGATTTTGGTCACGTTTTCTGGATACGTGCAGAAACTGCATCTCCATAATAGGCAACCGCAGTAGTGTAGAGCCGCTGTTGTTCCCAACTGTCGAGAATTACAGAGACTATCTGTCGGGAACGACATATGAACTGTCGAGACGTAATGTTGGTGTTTTGTTTGTTCAGTATGGTCTCATGAAAATCAATTTTCCATTTCGACAAACTGTCAGTCGAAGCTAATGAAACTTCTATGATCGGCTAAGTTTATCGTACGAAAAAGGTATTCATCTCATTCGTGATAATGGAACTGTAATGATCGGTACTTTGCTTGCGGAACATAACGACCAAATTTACACTGGCATACGATAATAATAACAGATTCATAAAATAAGTTCGGAATGTACAATGCATATTTAAATTAAGTTTTTCGGGGATTACATTTGACAACCACTTTTACACATCACGCTTCTTCAAGTGGCTTGTGATACAATAGGGTTCGAACATGTGGTCCGGTTATGACCAAGTCTCCCACATCGAGTGCATTTCCTTAGTTAGGAAGTGGACTCGTATCTAGCTCGCTTACGTCGCGTCGGTGGTCTACCTGGAGGACGACATACAGTCGGTGGCAAAATATGAGTGCCTAGGATTTCATTTGGAATAACCCAATCCACTTCCCATGTAACGGGATATATGACTTTCATATAGGCACCCTTCCAGTATTCCGATGTATAGTATGAGAGCATAGATTGTATAATGACTTACCACTCAGGGTAGCCCCACGAGTTGCATGAGCACATGGCATATGATTTAGTTGAAACTCACGACATGTGCACGTGTTATCTAAGAAGTCTACTATCTCCGTATCGTTGGATATTCCAACCTGGGTCAAGCTGTTTGTCAACTGATGGGCTCGAAGCCTAGTACCAGCTTCAAATGTTGTTTGTAACTCGTTCTCCATCCTCGACGATAATATAGTACTGCATGCGGTTGCATTGCTTCGACGTTCGTAAAACCACCTCTGCATTGTTTTACGAATGTGCTCAACCAAACACGTGATTGGCAACGAACGAGCATGTCTCAGCATTGAGTTCAATGATTCCGCGTTGTTGTTTGTCATAATGTTGTATCGGTCTCCCACGAATAGTGCTCGTGACCAGAATGAAAAACAGGCTTTCTCCAAATACCTGTAACATCTTTCACTCACCCTACAAATCTGTCCCATTAGTCGTTCGAACTCTTCGACCCGAGAAGTTGTAGCAGCTCGTTTGAACAGGAATATTGAACTTGCGTTAAAGTGCCGCCGAATTAGGTTCTTCTCCACATGCCACATACAACAACAATGACGAGACAAAGGAAATAAGTGAGTAATAGCTCTTTCGATACTTCTTTTCCTGTCCAAAACAAATACAAGTTCATCTGAGTCTCCTATAAGATCTTTCAAGTTAGACATAAACCACATCCAAGATTGGTTAGTTTCGAAATCCACAATCCCCCACGCTAAGGGATAAATATGTTTGTTGGTATCTTGGGCAGTTGCCAGTAAAAGTGTACCCTTGTATGGACCTTTCAAGTGACTACTGTCAACGAAAAATACGGGCCTCAAGTACTATTGCAACAAAAGCTAGGAAGAAGTAATGGAATCTATCGCGAGAATCAAGTTCGATGTGGGTTACCGTCCCCGGGTTATTCTCACCTAGTACGTGACAGTATGAAGATAATTTCTAAAAACTGTCCTCCGGTGTCCCATGCAGCATATGTAAAGCGGCCACCTTTTCCCTACGTGCCTTGCTGTAACTTATTTGGACACCGAGCTCACGTTCCATGTCACGTGCAATAGTGCTCGGATCATACGATCGGTTCGGATTATCCAATTTTTCGAAAATATGCTCAGCAATTACAGCACTCGTCACATGTCGATGCGCATTACTGCGAAAATTGATGGAACATGTGTGCACATTATTAAATTTATGGATCACAAAGATTGCAGACTGCCTCACAGTAGAAGCACGTAACATCCACTTGCAACTGCAGTCGGCGCATACAACGGTTAACATCTTCATGCTTGACCGGCTCACCCGAAATTGGAACTTGTTTTTCAAAGCAAGTGCACGAATTTTTTAATACAACTCTTTCTTGCTGAAGAATATTTCCTTTTCGGCAAGATCGGATGTAGTCACAGTTCTCATAAATTCATATCCATCCGAATCGTTCGAATGTGACAAAGAGTGCTCGTCCTCAACGTCAACAGAATTAGCAGACTCTAAACTAGGTGATGGGTTATCCAAGTTCTCATCTAATGGTGCACTCCCGTTATCATACTCATGTGTTTCAAGTGCATTATTGTTTGAGACACTATGCATTCGATTCACCAAATCATGTTCCACATTTTGCAGAACATCTACTGCGGCAAACGAAAGATCTTCAAAATTTGCATCCCTTCCCATGTCAACACTTGGGAGATCGGATTCCAAAACAGTAACGCAGATAGCACTTTCCTTATGCACTGATACGTACCAATTTAAGTCTTCATTGTCGCATATTTCAGCCGGAGGTATATTCAAGTTAGGGATTTTGAACTTCAATTCAATTTGAGCGCGGGGATCAAGAATACCAAGTTTCTCCTTCAACCTTAACATAAGTTCGGCTACGGTAATACTTCTTGGCACCAGAATGGAAGTAGTTTTGTCCCCTCTCCACTTCCATTCGTCATCCGCATGAACAAAATTTCCCCCATGCGACACGACGAATCTCAAATGATTATTCATACCTGAAATGTTGGGATTGCAATGGTAACAATTCGGAATCAATATGTTGGCATTTAATAGCATGAAACTCACACTTCATAATACGTAAATCAGTACAATAACAAAAGTTCAAATCAAGGGTTTGCATCGTTTTGAAGTATCCAAATTGAAAGTAATATTCTATAACTCGGCAGTTTCGAAATGTCAAGTTCGAAATCTCAAACGTCTAACCCGACGATTTGTAAATGTCGAACTCGACAATTTAACTGTCGAGAATGTCGGAAAGCAGACGGCAGTGAATTTCTGAGGTTTCTTCAACACATCATATTAAGTGTGGTCATTATTATTCACCTACCAAATGAGATAATGAAAATGGCATATTGGCCTTGTCATTAAAGAGACCTTAATGGTGGTAATGGAAGAAATTACTCAATGGTGATAATGGCATTTTATTAAGGATTCAAAAAAAATCAAACAAATGAATGCATAATACTTTCAAAGTAATTTCAAATAAATATGCCCATGTTGTATTTAATATGTACAAATACAAAGTTATAAAAGTAATATAAATTAATTTGTAATTGCTAACCTCTCAAAGTGGATGTAGAATACAACACAAATGTCTTCTTGATCAATGAAAATGAAGAAGATGGAAAAGAGGTAGGGTTTTTTGTTTTTATTTCGTTTTCTAATTTATTTGGTAATTTTTTATTAACAAAAATTCATATTAATCAATAAAATACACATTTATCCATGTTTTCTATCAAGTCAATGCTTTTCCTTCACATCAAGCATTTAATGCTACTAGAAATGTGTGATTAAGGGTATTTTGGACTTTGCACCCCAAAAATGTGACATTTTTGCTCACAAAAAGTGAAAATGACATTTTTTTTTTAACTTTCATTTCTGGTGACAATTTTGTAAATTCCCCAATTTTTAATATGAAGAAGTAGAAATAAGGATTATGCAATATAAGTGCAAAGACCTTCTTCAAAAATATATCTCTCTTTTAAGATTGATATAGATAAGTTAAGAACAAAGAAACTTGAAAAACTTTAATGAGAGATTGACTCAAAAAGTTTGATTCAACAATCAAAATTTTTGCTATGAAGAAATAAATGAAATGAAAATAAAAATGTAAGATCAAAGAAGATTTTTCACAAATATATTTCACAAGAACACTCTCTTCATGATTGTTGTGATGAATGAAAGTGAAGTGGTATTTAAAGCAATCAAAACGAAAAGTTTTGCCCAATCTTACTATCCATTCGGACGTTCACTTGTAAACTGGATGACCAAACCATTGTGTGTCAAAACTTAGAACGGTTAAAAAAATTTGACTATTGGCGAATCGGACGTCTAATTGACCATTGACTTTTTTTTTCTTTTTTTCTTTTTTTTTATACAGAATTGTGATATAAGTTCAAGTGTGACTTTAAAAAATCAATCTTACTTTTGATTAAAATATTTTATGCAAGTGACAATGATAGTAATTTTCTGTGCACAAAATGATTTTGAGCGCTATTGTCATTTATTACTAAAGATCAAAGTGTTATACCTTTTCATATGATCTAGAAAGCCTAGTCTTTGATCTTGCTTAAAAATTTCTTTCATTTTGGCTCTTGAACTTCTCGTCTTGATCTTTCTTTGATGCCATTTCTCATGCTCTTGATATTGATCTTTCTTGGCATTTATCTGTTAAGTTCTTGTCTCAAATGATTTGACTTGAATGCGTAATTTCTACTTTGATCTTCATTTCAAGATCAATATATAACACTTGATTGATTTTAACATTGAATTATTATCACTCAAAATGAATTGTTAGAAACAATATTAATCTTACTTGTTATGATAAAAACATTGATGATGAAGTCGGCCATATGTCAACACATTGATGGTCAGAATGCCTAGCTTCATAGTAAAAAAAATTTGTCTATTATGAGAGACACAAGCACATTAAAGTGAAGTATCACTTCATAAGAGAAAAGATTGCATCTGGCATTATTGATCTTCAGAAAATTCAAACTGAAGAAAACCCATCTGATATGGGCACTAAAATTGTTCATGTTAGTAAATTTAAATCTCGTTTATCCTTTCTTTATATTGAAGGTTAATTTTTCTGTGTAGGTACCTTGAGCAATGATGTAGGATCAAACCATCTATGTTCACTTTAGGAACTAGAGAAAGAAAGTGTTTTTGACAACCAAGGTGACGATTGTGAAAAATGTGCTTCTCAAATAAATAACTTAGAGAGGATATATTGGTCTTTCTTCTCTTATGGTTTAGTTGGATGTAGATGGCCACTTGGCAGCCCCTAACTAGCTCTCTGAACTTCACTCAAGCTATGCTAATTGACAGGAAATCTGGGCCATCCGTTTCAATTAATGACTGAGATTAATCCCTGGGTTTTAAGAGCCTTTGTTGTGACGGTTTGACTCACGGCTTTTGAGTTTTGAGAGTTAAGAGTATTTCTCTCTCTCTAAGTCTTCTGGTTTTTCCTCATCTTCCTCCTAATTATGTTAGTTTGATCTCTGAAGAGATCCTAATCCTTTTACTGAAAACCTGTGAAAATAGTGTTGCTTCAGTAACTTTTGCCTGTGAAAACAATTGATAAACGTGTAAAGTTGTCAGGTTGTGGTTTTGGTGTATGTGTTGATTAGGGTTGTGATTTAGGAGATCTTCTTGGATCATGGATCAAATCTAGTTCTAATTTAGGTCTTTGAAATGCTGTACTTTCTCCTCGACATCATTGTTGCACATAATAATGGGCTGATCTCTGAGCCCCCAGATTAGGCATTTTGTTGAATTGGGTGAACAATCCCGTGTTATTTACTCTTTTCTATGTGCTCGATCTTTTACTTTCAGTATTATTGCTTTGGTAGGGTCAAAATACATAAAAAAAATGTTTTGTCCTGGATATGTAAGAGAAAAAAAGTTTAGTAAGTTGAAAATGGCACAAATAAATTTATTGACCAAACAATTTAACCTATTATTTTTTGAAATAAAAGCTTAGGTATCGTTTGGTTTGCATTTCTATTTTCTGTTTTCAATTTTGAATTTATTTTCTATTTTTTGTTTTCAATGATTATTTTGAGATTGCAGAAACTTGTTTGATTTGTCAATCTAGAAAATTGTTTCTCAAAAAAAAAAAATTAGAAAGCGAATTTGATTTTAAAAATAATATTATGACATTTTTTAATTAATTTGATCATTTAGTAAAACATATCAATTTTATATTAATATGTGATCAAAAGATATAAATTTTAAGGTTGGTAAAAAAAAAAAAAGGGATCATTGCAAATATATCTCCAACAATCACATTGAAATCATCTGTACATAATAATGGCACTAAGAGAGAGATGGGTAAGTTTTGTGTGATTTTATCAATTATTTTAATTTGAGAAATTTTTAAATTCATTTTCTTTATTTTAAGTTTTTTGAATGTTTTCATTTAAAATACTCAAAACTCAAAAAGTCATCGTGAGTTTTATGTTATAATATTTTTTTTATTTTCGAAAACGAATTTTTGAAAATAATATGCCGAACATATTTTGAGAATTTTAGAAAATTAAAAATTAAAAATGACTCCAAAACGAAAAATTGACGCCACTGTTTAGACAGGATTTATTCGATAAGTCCATCACCTTTTAAAGGGCGAGCCTTCGAAAAATTACTCTAGCTTTAACACGGCACAACGACGTCGTTTATTCCAAGAATCGTCTATCCGCGAAGCCCTGGTCTCAATCGATTGTATTCTGATTTCTGCTCTGTGATTTTCGAAATCGTCTGTCGATACATAACAAATGAAGAGGGGACTGCTGTGGAACGATGAAGAAGACGATGATACACCATCTTCCGACGATTCCTCGACCCTAGATAAAGACCCGGAAGATAATAAAGCCTCCAAATCTACTAAGGAGAATTCAATTCGATCCTCCAAGAAGAAAACTTGTCAAGGTAACAATATTGCTCTCCTCTATTTCTTATATCAGTATATGGTCGGAAAATTTATGTATTGATTGTATCTTGATTAATTTTAAGACATATTTAGTCCAATTTTTACAAGAAGAAGTATGATATGTCTTTTTCTTAGTGATTTTTCCCAATATCTTATTTGAATTCAATTATTCAACCCATTTATATATTTTTACGGGCGGTTAGTTTATGTTTATAACTTTAATTTTGGTTTTCATAACGGGTTGATTGTTATAGTTTTTGAGAAAAACTATAATTATACATTCTTGTTATTTGTTGCTATGTTGTTGTGCTGTCTAACTATACCTTATTTATTTCTTGAATGATTTTATTTGATCGTCTTTCTAGTTGCACTGATACAGATACAGATCCAGATTCAGATTTTTAGCTTGATTATAAATATTGATTATTGTGGAATGCACGAACAATAGCCATTACATACTGCTACGAGATATGACTTTCTTGGTCATTAAACATCATCCAGGCCTTGATGACTCTCTGCTGTGTAAACTATCATATTGCCTGCAGTGCAGGGTTAACCATTTACACCCCCTATCCAAGGATAAAAACCAAAACAGAAGGAAATGGATGAAAAGAACATGGGCATTTGATGGCTGATGATAATTTTGCTGCTTCTTGTGGCTAACTTCATTCCAATTCCTGATTCACTTAAACTACATTCAATTTGCCTAGTAATCTTTCATAGAAGTCAATGTTAAACTTAAACTTCATTCCATGTAGTCGTCATACAGCTGACATGACATCATCTTAGTCCCATGTTAAATTGTAGAGTTTAATTATTGTCGTTGTGCAAAGCCAATAAGCGGATTGACTTCTACGGTGAGGTCGCCGTGGGATTGGAAGGGGTCAAGAAGAGCTTCCCCCCCCCCCCCCCCCCCCCCCCCCCCCCCCTTATTAAAGACAGTTATAGAATTTCACACTAGTAATTTCGATTTTTCCTAATTTGTCTTATAGATAGAGAGTCATCCTTAGGGTTTTATCATTACCATCATAAAAGAGAGACAGAGATTAGAGAAAATAGGGCGTGCTATTTTCTCTTGTATTCTTTTCATTGTAGTGAATTATTGCAGCAGCGGAAGAGGGTGCTTGTTGTTAAGTGTATTTTTCTTTATGCAAATCGATTGCTCTCGGTATAATAGAATTAGGGTTTCGAATTCTTAACACCCTAGACTCTCCTTCCATCATTTTCACTGCACCTCCACCCACGCCCTACAATGATTTTAAAAAATAATAAATAAATAAAAAGAGATTTTAATTTGCTTGACCTTGAATTTTTGCTACTTGGATACAGTTGACTCTGCAAAGAAAAAGAGCAAAGGTCTTGACTTTGAAGCTTTGAGTCAACATGGATATAAAGGAGGACTATCAGTCTTGAGCATCCCACCACCAAAAGAGCCTGATCAGGAACAGGACTGGTCTTGGTCATCGGGAAAGGAAACTCGGACAAAGGAGGTAGAAGAAACTTATGAAGATCGACTGAGAACAAGAGATGCATTAGTTGATGCAGAGCTTCTAAAAAACGTGCAAACACAGAAAGATAAAAAGAATCTTTCATTTCAACAGAAGGAGAAGAGGAAGAGAGATCTTGGTCAGGCTAGTCGGGGGAAGAACTATGTGGAAGAAGAGAAGAGGTTGCTAAGAGAGAGTGGCGTTTACTCTGGGTTTGATTCATAATATGCCTTACCTGTTTTTATTAGTTTCACTTATCGTTTATAGTGTAATCTCGAATCCCGTATGACATTTCTAGTACTAAAGTTCAATACATTTTGTAGTTTATGTGTGCTTTGGGTGAATCCACTTTGCAGTATTGATAGCTTGCGGTTTATATCAATGTTTTAAGTGAAAACAAACGCTTTTTATAAACCGATGTGGCTATACATACTTTTTAACGAAGAAACTGTCCAGGACTAGTAATTGAAGATGTTTCTTTACAATGACTCTGATTGATATTGTCTCAGCTTGTTTATACAAATTTTGGCTTCAATTGGCATGTGTTTTCATGTTTTTAGATGCTTCCAACTGTGTATTTTTACGGCTTCCAATATCTTTATCATTTTCCACCTTTCCATCTTTATCTAGTACGTCCCTCATTTTACAAGGACACTAAGATGAACATCCAAGAGAAGGTCATTCGGTGAGAATGATTTATTGGCAGCAAAAAGGACAACGGTCGTAGGTAACCTGGCAACTGACTAATTTTCAAGAACAAATTTTCCATAGTAGAGCAGTACATAAATAGTTGGGTGATGCTACACACACGTAAATGACTCGTCCTTTAGTCCGACACGTCTTCCCTTCTACCGTTAGTTTCCTCAAGATTCTTAAGATAGGGCAGCAGATCTCCTGGAGAGGGTCCTATAAATTGCTCTGATAGTGTTGGGAGTTGTTCTGCAGCAACCTCCTCTGAGGGAAGCTCCTACTTCACACCATTTGGGAAAAAAAATTTGAAAATTTGGACCGTTACCCACAAGTCCTGCTGCCTTTGTTGATCTGCTATTCAAAGAGGCGTGAAAAAATTGAAAAAGAAGTGTGTGGTGTCGGTGGCCCAAGACTGTGTTAGGTATCGGTTAGAGTTCATATAAATTCTGAAAAGGAAAAGAGCTATTGATGGATTATATTAATCTTGAGATTATTAAATATAAATTAGGATTATTGGATAATAATAATATATTTATATTAGAAAAATTAGAAATTGAGAAAAATACCTACAAATAATAAAACTATTGAATTTCACATATTTGGATGAATTTTCAAAATATTTCATTTTTTTTATTTTTATATATTTTTTTTGCTGGTTCGATTTAGTTTTAAACCGCAATTAAAATTCTCAAACATAAACCAAACCATTTTGATTGGTTTGGTTTGGTTTGGTTCAAAACTATTTCGTTGATCAGGTCCACGTGGCACCAAACCGACGGTTTCTAAAAGGCGATTTCGATTCAATTTTTCAATTTGACGATTTTTGCTTACAGCCCTAGTGGGAGAATTGTGTCTCATTTTACATTATCAAGAATCCTCATTGCACGAATTTTTATTGAAATTTGATTTATCCCAAAAAATAAAATAAAAAAAAATAAAAAAAATGAGGTTGTTCTCAGTTGAACTAGATTATTTTGAAGGAAACCCTTCATAAAATAGGTGAGGAAACAGCATTGCCCTTGACTCTACAATTTTTATCAAGAACAGAATAAAATAAAATGTTAGCACGCTCTGTCAAATAGTTTATAAAAACAGTATATCGACGAGCAGCGTCTTAAAGAAACTGAAATGAGAATGTCAAGAACTCACCACCCACTCCTTATCAGTATCACAACCCTCGCCGCTATTTGGGTAAATAAGTATCGGTTTAGTTGTCACCTGAGGGAACAATAAGTAAAATTAAACAATAATACAACTGAGCAAAATGGAACTAAAGATAATGTTAAAATCTTTAGGGATTCACACAACAAATAATGCCAGTAGAAGGGGGAAAACCGTTGTATTTTTCTAATTGTCCAATATTATAGGACACAAATGAATAGCTCCACTTGTTTACCACAAAACATGGAACTGCTGTTGGGTTTTTTAATACCTAATAAATTTCGGGCTATGATGTTAACGAAGGTTAATGTATTTCATAGACATAGGCCATTTGAATAAGTCCAACAACCAAGTTCATGAGCTCCAACCGGTCCAATTATATTCGCTCTTAGATGGATTGAATTTTGGCCTGTTTACCTTTTTTTTTAGTCCAATTAAAAGCCTAACCCTAAACTATTTATAAGACTACAACCCAAGCTATATTCTAGTGTGATTTGTTTGTAAGAAAAGGAGAAACTCGGCTGCCCCCTTTGATGTGTAATAAAACGGCCCCTTTTGGTGTCCAAAACGATTGATTACTTTGTGTAATTTGTGGTTTCTTCATAGCCTATCTTTGTAGTGTTTTCTTCTTACCTTTGTTGCTACAAATAATCACTGTTTCTTGTCCTTTGTGGGTAAGATTGAATAGCAACCGAGCTGAATTATATTGGTTGTGGATCAGAATCGGTTGGTTTGGTTGTCTGATAGAGAAAGGTACGTTGGACTGAACCCGAAAAATATCGATTTGAAGATCTTTGGAGTGAGCTTTCGCGATATTTGATATCAGAGCTTCAAGGTGGTGCTTTTGGCTTGTGAAACATACAAAAAAGTCTAGAAAAACCAGCTGAAACAAGGCAGAAATCAGATCGAAAAATTGTACTATAAATATTCAAAAATCAGCCCCTGTTTTCGTGTTTTCTGGCTAATCTAAAAGGAGTTTGGTGAAACGGAGACCACTGATGTATCATGCAGGTGGAGGCAGTCCCGACGATCAATCACATGTGGCAAGCGGCGATGCATAAAGCCCACGCACAGAGAGAGTGAGGGCCTATAAGGACACATGGGACCGAATTTCGAGATTGTCTCTTCAGGCAATTTGTTGTTAACATTATTTTTTAAATTTTGGTGTTGTTAGTTTTTTGTTTTAGGTTGTGCATTAGAATTTGGACATAGTTGTTCTTCGGACGTTCGGGATTCGATCGTGGTTGGTTGGTTGTTGCAATTGCTAGAGACTTTAGAACGAATAATGATGATCCTAAAGTGATAAATTCGTATCCCTCATAATTTACGGACTCGGATTGTTTCGCTCTGGTATATCGGCTTATCTTAGTTTAAATTTCAGCATTAGGGCGTTATCGTGTGGGGGTGACATTATGTTTGTAGTTACCGTGAGGGGATAACAATGTTGTGCTAGAAATTTATGAGTTATTTTGTCGCGATCCAATTTTTTTTTTTTTTTTTTTACTTTATAAAAATCAAACAAATTTTTATTTTTTTTAAAAAACTCAAGTCACTACCAAATATTTCTTTAAAAAAATAAATTGGTTTATAATGATGTTATCCCTTGTCAATAACCTAAAGAAATCTTAACATGTGAAATAAAAATCATGTTATGATGAACTTTGAAGAAAAATATATAAGGGGTTTCATTTTAGCAAGAAATATGCGTAAATGTTATTAAGCAATTTTCCTTACTGATGTTAAAATAATGGTAATAAGCATACTTTATTCTCTTTTCCTCCAGTAAGTGAAACATGGCCTCAACTCCCCTAATCTAACTTCATTATAGAGTCTTCATTAATTTGTCATGCATTGATATATCCATAAATCAATTTGAAAGGCAGCAGTAGCACCCTAATCATTAAAATTAATACAAATCCAGGTGACATTATCATAAGTGTTCACAGAAAATAACGGATGGCTAGCAAGACGAATTGGACTATTATTAGTGGCTGGTGAAAATGAGTAATTTCCCCACATTCTTGCTGATTCGAGATTTCGGACATGCATATGTTACGTTCTATCCATAATTAATTACATGTAAAAATTTGTTACTACTAATGAAAAATAGCAGTAAAGGGAAACCAAACAATTTAATTCAAATATTTAATTAAAAATGTAAGTTTAAACATGTCAATGTAAAAAAATAAACATGCACAGTAAATTTAATTGTAAATAAATTTCCATGACAACTAAATTAAAATAAATGAGGTTACGTGCTAGATTTTAGATCCTTGTTCCTTAGACGAGACACGACCACACTATCAAACCGCCGCACTCCAACACGACCCGTACTATCCTGTAAGGTAGGGAAAAAGGGGTGAGTATGGGGAATACTCAGTAGGATACAAATATTCGTACAATCCCGAATAACATTTATCATTCATATATCAAAATAAATCATACTGTCATATCATATTTTTAATCGGTAAGAGCTCAATCATATCATATCATTTGTACCGGATGGCCATATATGTCATATCATATCATTTCGTATCATTAACAAAAATATTTATCAATATGAAATAACAAAAATTAAACGGGACAACCACTTGCACGTCGTATCCTACCTTAACCTTCAAATGCATTTCAGCCCAAACAAAAATGTTGAGATATGAAGAATGCTCTATAAATGTTACTGCAAAGTCTTTCTTGTTTGAGTGAAATAAAAATATAGAAGAAAATGATTAATAAATATAGGATGGGGAAGTTATTAATTGTTGAAGTGAAGAAACCGTATGAACGTGAGATAAATGAAGGAATGTGGAGAATCTTTCATTTTAGTTGCGTGGTGGGGAAAAAGTAGTAGGTATGTGGAAGTTTCTTAGAGGTGGCTAATTTGAGTGAGAGAGAGAAAAAAACTCAAAGGAAAAGTAACGTGTGAAAATATAAAATATATATATCTCAATATGCGCCACTAATTTCAATCTATCCAACGAGCCCAATATTCATATACTTATCGTTGCTCGGTCAAAATCTAATTATTTGACCCAAATAAAATTGAAATTTGCTATGTATCATTTTAGTCCCTAACTTTTCAAAATATTAAAATATAGCATATAAAAATTTAATTCTATTTCACGAAAATTTAGGACTTTACATATTTGCCATATTTGAAGTGTTGATTTTTTATTACAAGTTAGTAATTGATTTTGTACTTTAACTATCACATAGTCATTGTTTGAGACTGTATTGCTTGAGAATTTGAACTTTTGTTTACATATTTTCGTGTTGCATTGATTACCATGTTAGAACACCTAGACTTGACATGTTTGAACATTCTCTTGATCTAAGATTGTGAAACTTACGAAACCTTGAAAATTTAAAACGGTGTATATTGCAACCTTAGGATTATTTCGTGTGACCTATTTGTACATTTGGTTGTTCTATTTTCTTAAAAATGTCTTCACGTTTCAAAGTTGGTATTTTCAACAGGAAAGGGGATTTTTCAATTTGACAGCGAAAGATGAAGGGTATTTTGATCTAACAAAAAATTTTAAAAGCCATAAATGGCAAATTTTCTACAAACTTAATAGAAGCACAAAAAGAAAAATATGATAAACTTGCTTACACTTCAATTATTTTACACCTGTTTGAT